TAAATAGAATAGCTTGATCAGAGCTTGCATCCAGCTTTGGAAAAGGACAAAGATGCTGAATTAAAGTTAAGGGTACATGAATGTGAATTTCAAGTAATATCATCACAGAGGAGGTAAGCTAACGAAGTGTACCAATGGACTTCAGTAGGCAAGACTTCATGGCCAGTCCAGCTAGAAAACAAGGGACAGGTTCAAAAACTTCTTGGAATAGTGAACTTAATAGAAGAACCTGTACATAATCTGAATATTACTAAAAGAAATACCTTCAGAATGCTAATGTACAAAAATATCCAATGTACACAAGATACTGCTTTTGAGAAACTGAAGAGAGCAGTTAAAAAAGTATTAGAAGATAAAACTAAGTTGTTTATACGAGAACTAAGTTGTTTATACAAGCTTTCAAGAAGAGTATAGGAACAGTTCTCTTACAACAGACTGGTAAAATTGGAGACTGCTGATTTATGCATCAGCAGCATCAATTAAAAATGAACTTTGATAAGTTCAGAAGGAGAGGAGGAAGACTGAGTTCTTACTTAACAGTGAAAAATGTTGTGTCTTTATCAGTATTAATGTGAAGTGAACAGACACCACTTACTGTCACTGCTAAAAGACAGGGCAAAGTCTTCGCCTAAAAACAATGATGTTTTTTCAACAGCCAATTTAGGAGTTGTCAATGGAATCCACAACTGGGATTTGGCGGTTTTATGCTTACACTCCATCACATCTGAGAAAAATCCTTTCTAGACATGGTACACCCTCAAATATAACACCTGATAAGCTGGCTGCAGTATGACAGACAATGCGTTTAGCCTGTTTTCAGTGATGTCCTGACTTAGACTTACCGCTAAGTTGCATAGCGAACAGTGTAAAGTAGTAAGAAATTTAGCAGAAAAACCTGCAGTCAGATAAGGGCTTATACATACCAATGGTAAGGTACAGAAAGGCATCAGTGACTAACGGGTCACACAAGCTGACATGTTATTCAGAAGAAAATGGAAAGCAGGAACACCTAAATGTTGGAACCTGGAACCAGAGGAACTGAGAAACGCTATTCTTGGATGAAGCTGATCTGTTTTGGGTAGCATTCATCTCATCTAACTTTAGACCTGCAGAATGTATAATATGTCTATGTCCGAGCTGGTCATCTAAACTACTGATATAGTTAGTGGAGAGAAACAGGCTCTTACGCTGTCTAATTCACTCCCTCCTAATGAACCACTCCCTCTACCAGTCTGGATACCTGGACTATCAGGTCTCCAGACAACTACTTTGGATGTAGAAGAGGGGCAGCATCCTAAAACTGCCTTATCTTACTCAATGCCCCAGAAGACAGCTAACTTCAGATTTTAGCAAGTGCATCACTAGTACAGTAATGTCCCAGGCACCATGTCTACCCATGCACATTGCTCGTTCTTTTGAGCAGGAGATAAATTCCACCTGCTAGGTAAAAGCCGAAAAAAAGTTAACTCAACCCAAGAAACTGAATATATCTTTAAAAAATTTTTTTGGCCATGGTCAGCCTTCCTGTGCAAGATCCTGTGCTGATTCATGAGTCACAAAACATGGAACCATGATGATTAAAAAATTCTAATTTATATCTTTGATGCAAAGCACTCAATTCAGTGAAAATAAAACAGAATGATAGTGGTGAGGGTGATGTGGCTCACACAATGCTCTCTTCTAAGCCTGAAATCCATGTGAAAACGTCTGTAAGAACTCAAAAATGGCTTTTCAAGAAAAGATATCTCTGACAAAATGTGATGTATGCCTAGGAAAGAGTCAAGCATGTAGTCATTTGCCCCCTGCAGCTTAGGAACTTCCAGAGACGGTAACACTGCATCTGTATTAAGTAGCTTTCTGGGAATTTGTCTTATCACTTGCGAAACCCTGTAAACTTGTGGCATCTACAACATCCTGTGGCAATAAATATCACAATTTAATTATGTTGTGTGTGAAAATGTATGTTGTTGAATTGGTTCTGATCTCTTGAATTCGTTCTGCTCCCACCATGTGATAACTTGATTTGGTCCCCCTTGTATAAATTATGAAAAAGTGAATAATCATTCCCAGTTAACCACTGCTTCCCAACAACCACAGCAAAGACCACCAGCAAATGTCTGATAGCTAACTCCTGTATTTTTTGCCCTGCTATAAACTCTGATTGTCCAGCTGAAAATCATAAAGGCTCAGGGCTGCTGTGCTAGTGAGATCAGTGAGTAAAAACAGGAAAACGTATGTAACAATAAATTTGGTAAGTCTGCACTAGATGTAATTTATTATCATCCACAAGACAATAGCAATCCATCAAAGTGTATTATGGATCATTTATGCTTGAAGATGTGCCACAGTATAAACCTGTAAGGTGCAATCCCTGAGCAGCTTATGCATCAGTCCAGACTGATAGCATACATTTAGCAAAATGTAATTTATTAATAAGTTTGTGTGAACATTGTTATTTAATTTCTTATTACCTGAAAGTAGCTCACATTTGCTGTGCACTGAAAACAGACCACCGTAAGAGAAGTATAACAATTTAGGGGACACAAAATGTAAGCAGATTTCTCCTCTAGGATATTTTAATAGCATCTTCATAACAAATATCTTCATTTGTGTCTCCTACACATATATGTCTCCCCCATACTATATTCCCTTCTCTTTTCTCCCCTAAACTTCTCTTTGAGAATCAGTATTTCTTTATTGTTAGAGTTGTATGTTAGCATTTCAGAAGTGGCTTAAAGCAGTGACATATGCAATTACAATAATATTTAAAAACTGTAAATGAACGTTTTCACGAGAGAGGGCATCCCACACCCCAGAGGAAAGGCAAAAGTCTTTCTCCCTAGCTTCCTCCATAAGTTGGAGAACCCAGGGAAAAGGTCCTGCCCCTTTCCACTCCCTCATTCCCCTAAAGTTACAGCATGTAAGACGGTACTCCTTTCCCACAAATTACCCACTGAGCCCTTTTGCAAATGACTTAAAAATATTGTGTCTTAAGTAACTTACTATATCTTTTTAAAATGTTAAAACGTTCACCTGATATCCATCACTGCTGAAGGATGGTGACTCACTGCTGCAGAAGAACACTAAGAGAATACATTCCACCAAAACTCCTCTCTTTGGGGAGACTGTTTCTTAGAAACAGTACTAAGCAGAAGAAATAGCCAGATGAAAAATCTGGCTATTAAAGAAACACCCTAAGACCATCTTGGAACATTTCTGACATTCCTAAAAGGAAATAGTGTGATATCTCCATGTTTTAATTTAGAAATTGTCCAATTTTGTGAACTGAGGCTCAAGAATGTTAAAAAGCCTGAAACAAAAGTCATTCAGTTGTATAGGATCCTTTTTTTCCTTTTCCATGTTACTGGCAGCAACAGTGATTTGTGGAACTGCTACTCTTCCTCCGTAAGTAATCTCAACACTTACACAGGGCTACTTGCTCACTGGTTCACTGCCAGTGCAACTCTAGATCACCCACCCGATCCTTATGCAGAATCAGTATTTGTTCTAATGACAAAGCATTACATGCAAACTTAGAAAAAGTTATTCTAATAAAGTGCTTTTGTCTTGCCTGTGGTCCATGTTGCAAACAGCTTCGATTCAAGGGCATAGGTCCCTCTACCTGTGAAAATTCATACATGCAAGATACTCTGCTTACAGCAGCCTATATTCCTTCCTTTAGATGTTCTGAGCACAATCATTAGCAGTGTGACTGTTTAATAAACCATTTCCCCCATCTCTTGCTGAAATTAAGATACTTTCATACCTTATGATGGCTACCATTTAACCATTCTTTCTATTAATTTTATAGAAACTAATTGTATAGATTTTATAATAATCAGGTAGAAGCTTGACATTCAGAGTACATGTCTTTCATACAGGTCCACTCAATTGCGTCTGTCAGCTTCAGTTCCAAGCGGATATTTGCTGCATGAGTTGTTGATAGATACTTGATCTGAAGACCATCATGCCCTTTCAGATTTCTGTCAAGCTGCATTATATTATGTATGCTTTATCTTGTCCTTTATGTCCACCTTTGACAATACACAGCTGTTTCTGTGCTGGCTCCCAGTTTACATTACATTATATGCGCAATGCATAGACATCCATAAAATAAGGTTACTAAAATAGGAAGCCTCTCCCTAATACAATATTTAAAATGCATCTATCAAAGCAGTAGCTGTTTATCCAATCAGGTGAATATGACTCACAATAAGCTTATCTTATTGCCTTGTTATCTTAAGGCTAATACTAGCAGCCATTACCACAGCGTCTAAGCATCTTCTTTGGGAAAGAACGGTATAAATAGAATTCCTAGTAGAGTTGAAGCAGTCAAACTGTATCTGTACGCACAGAGTATATTTATCTCTGCAGCTTTTTTTGGTAATGTTTTTGCTTGTGTAATGATTGATATGTTCATAGTGCTTTCGACTCGGGGGATATTTTTTGTCAGAAAGGTTTAGATTTGGGCTCGTAGGCTTCTGCTTTGTTCTTTCAATGATATTAACTCTCTTTTCTTCAAGGACAGCTTTTGAAGTGTTTCTTATATATGGTGGAAATATGGATTGACAGCAGAAAGAGCCTCTTCACCACTCTTACGATCAGCAGCTGTTATTCTATTTTTATCAACAACTTCATTACTGCAGGAATTGTTTTTGCAAAATGTGAATGATGCTGCTGAGATCATTCCACATGAGCAGATCTTTCCTTAGAAATTTTTACAGTCAGTTCCAAAATCTCACTTCTTTAAGAAGTAACCATTCAGATGTATGTATGATTTAAAAATGCAGAATGCATAGTATGGATGTGATGGGCAAGAAAGTAGAACATTAAATTCACCCAACTATTTTTTCCTTTTCATAATGAGTATTTCAGGTAGTCACTGTTTCTGTATGAAGAAGCATGAACAGTACATGCATACAAACATGACCCCTCATGCAGCATGCACTTTTTTTTTTTTAATCTAACATGTCTACTGGGCCATGACTTGATACACCTACCAATAAAACCTGAAGATGGAGGGTTGGGCTGTATCTTCTCTTTAGTGTTCTCCTGAATGATGTCCCAGAGCTGCCATATAAACTTTGGATGAAGAATGTAAAACGGCTGGTTTGGATTCTTCCTGCGATGCTGTACATAGGGAGTGAACAGATTGTAGTCTGGCTTCTTATACCACTAGTAGGAAAAAGTAAGAAGTTATTTAATGGTATCCAATGTATTTTGAACACTGCATGAAAAGTAACATGAACTAGCTTCTTTCAGGTTCTTTAGAACAGAACTAAAGTGAGCAAATTAGTATGTTCTTCATACAAGGACTCCCAATAAGTGATTCGCTGCAGTGGGACAAGCCAACGCCATCTCCCGCTCCCAAGCCCACGTTAAATTGTGGGTTCAAAAAGCCTCAACACAGGACATGGGCATTGGGGTGAACTTTTCTCTAAAAGTGCCTCTGTCCCTACTGACAGCAGCAGTATATGAAGCAGCCTTAAGGCAGCTTGCGTAGGAGGCATGCTTTCTAGCATCAGTTGCTAAGGCAGTTCAGTGGATGAAGGTTTACTTTTTCTACTTGCAGCCTACTCAGCTCCAAGTTCCCCCTGCCAATAAACATCAAATCAATCGGTCCATTGGAGTTGTGCACCACTAGCCAAAGCAGAGCCTCCTCTAGTGACAACCAGATGGATGTCTGCTGCTGTCAGCAAGGGGGTGGATGGCTGGGCACAGATGGCTGTGGGCGAGTGGACACAAAGGAAAGACTGGTGGGGAGGAGGCCTGCGAAATGGTGAAGGTGCCAAGAGAGATTTTCATTAGATTATGTTTTGTTTGGAAAGACAGGGGGGAAAGTGGAAAAAAATGGATTCTTCAGTTTTCCTCATAAAGCCTCCTTCTGAAACTTAATAACGTTCTCTCCTGGGCAAATACACCGGAGGTCTCACTTTTACATGAAAATAGCAATGTTCTATAGGGAAAAAAGAAGTCATTCACCTATCCTACCATGCCCATTCCAGTACAAGCGTAGCTATTAAAAAGCTTTTGACCAATAAATACATGCATTCATGCAGAAATGATGTGCCTCACTCTTCGGAGTAAGACTTCAGGGTTCATTGTGATGAGTGAGAACCAGGAGACTGAAGTACTAAATACATGCATTTTGTCCACTGTTTTCAGACTGCTTAGGAAAAGGACCAAGAATACATCTTACCACATTCAGATTTGCAGAGTAGGGGGCAGGATCCCAGGCCACTAGGATAACATCTTTGTACAAGGAGCTGTCAACAAAATGGTGGCTTGGGTTGGTGAGAATCTGCAAAAAAGCATGCAAAAAATTACAGAGTTAAAGTTTCCAAAAGGAACTGAGACCATTCCCTAAAAACAACACTCCTCTCCACTCTGCTGTTTGTTCTACTTTAATTTTGGTTGATTTTAAGCAAGTCATTCGAAACTTGTTTTGTTAAAAAAAAAAATTGTGTGTGTGTGTGTGTTTGTGTGTGTGTGTGTGTATAAAACAGCTTAGCTGTAAACAGCACTGGTGACAGTTTGAAGGAGCAGTTCGCTGAATTACTCTCCATCTGTGAGGGATGTGATGGGACCACTTGAGATGCTGCATAATTGTATATGAACATTACAGCATGTTCTGGAACTGTAAAATGAAAGCAATGGTATTTCAGACTGCCCATAGAGCCTCTTTTTGGACACAGAACAACCTTCTTTGAAGGGCTGCAGCCCCCAAGGATACTATCTTCTCCCTTCTTTCCCCCCCTCTTTCTTTTCTTTCCATTATTTTGGTTGTTTTCTCGTTTTCACAAAAGTACAGTCTTATTTGAAATAACTCCAAAAAGGCAAATTAGACCATGACAGGAAAAGCTTGTCTACCTAGAATAAGAATTCCAAGAACAGGCACATGACAATGCTGTTTTTGAAGTAACAGCCATATCATTGATCTACTGCTCTCAGATAATTCCCTCCTGTACCTCCTGGTACACTGCCTAATCCTCCCCACCACACTGGAAGTTTCTCTTTCACTTCTGCCGGCTTATTCTTTCCCTGACTCTCTACGCCGAACCACATCTTTCTGATCCCTGGTGCATCCAGACTCAGGAAGGATTGAGTCGAATGAGTTCAACACTAGTTGAAAACAGCGTGAATTTGGCTCCAGCTGTTAAACTAATCAGCGTTCCAGACAAATAAATTCCTACTAATTTTCATTTCCCTTTAGGTTCCAATGAGCCACATTTGATTATGCATATTTTTCTTCAGAAAAATAATACTGTTGCCATAGCAATATTCTTCCTACCATAAACTTTGAGCTTAATGACTGTCTATCAGCCTTCCACGATAAGAGCAGAATTAGTCTTGCTGCCATCAGCACCCCTAAATTCCATTTCTCAGAGCAGTTTTTGTCTGGGGACATAAACTCTTTTTTTTAGAGTATAGAGTAAACAGACCAAAGGCTCAAGCTTTTAAAAGCTTTACTCTACACTTATCACACAAAGAAGCTCTTATTTGGCTTTCAGTAAGCAAGAGTTCTTTAGAGGTGATGTCTACACAAGTTTCATTCTTAGTGAGCCTGCATTCATACATATGAGATGAGTTTCTCCTGAAACAGCAATATCCATTGTGGCTGCGCTTGCTTCCTTCACGTCCTTCAGGCTTCCACCGCAGAGAACGTGAAGGAAGGAGAGGGCCACAGCTGCCTGTTAATCAATTAAAGGTAGGAATTTCCAGTAGCAAGGATGGAAGA